CACGTCTCATATCATTCATAAGAGAATTTTTCTTTATAAAATTTGAGGTGGCTTGATTTCATCAAATTATTAAAATTTTAATATAATTTTTAGATATGAAAATTTATTAAATATATTAAACAATTAATCAAAAAAACTCATAACGGTTCAAAGCAAAGAAAGGAAACGTAAAACATCTCGCACATCTCATATCTTTCATAGGAGAATTTTTTTTTATAAAATTCGGGTAACTTGACTTCATTAAGTTATTAAAAATTTAATATAATTTTTGATATGAAAATCTATTATATATATATATATTAGACAACTAATCAAAATATTTCATAAATTTTCAAAGCAAAGAAAGAAAACACAAAACATCTCGCACGTCTCACATTGAGAATTTTTCCTTATAAAATTTGGCCGGTTGGATTTTATCAAATTATTAAAAATTTAATATAATTTTTAGATATAAAAATTTATTTTAAAAAATATATATTAAATAACTAATCAAAATATCTCATAAATTTTCAAAAAAAAAAAAACAAAAAAGGGAGCGAACATGAAACATCTCGCACGTCTCACATCTTTCAACCTCCAACGTGACAGTTCCCCGTTTTACACGGTCAACGCTTTTAATTACCCCATAACTTATAATCACGACCCTAATTAGCGAGTGCTACACAATCAACCCAATCCTCGACGATCAGACGAGCGTGTATCCTTCACGAGCAATGTAAGAGAGTGGCTCTGAAATGCATCTCAATCGGCAAAAATCATGGTACGCCTTCGCATATGATCTACGAGAAATACCCCCGATACGTATAAAAATAATAAACTCTGTACTTTGGCTTTGCTTTCTCTTTTTCTTATTCATTTTCTGATTCTTTAGGGAGGTAATGTAAAGATTTGATTTTTCTTTTTGGGTATTGTGAAAATTTCCTGGGCGCCAAACACTCCCCCAAATATATATAGAAAAGAAAAAGAAAAGAAAAATGAAGGAAGAGAAAAGGACAGGCGTGAAAGGTTTCTGAGACAAAACTCTTCAGTTGCTTACTGAATTTCTCTCTTTCTCTCTCTCTCTCTCTCACTGTCTCTGTCTCTCTCACAAACAAACACACAGGAGTACCGAGCTGAGAGAGATATGGATATGGGTAAGATAAACTTGGGATTGGTTGTTTTGAAGGGATAATGAACTGGGGATTCATTTCCTTCTTTCCAGAAGAAGATGGCTCTGCAGAAGCAAGAAACCCAACAGCTGCAAACCCCACCGTTGGTTCTTGATGGGCTTTATTGTGAGGAGGAGAGTTTTGAGGAGGGATTAGGGGAGTGTGTTGACGATGGGAGTAAAAAGGGTGGGGAATTTGTGAAAAAGGAGACATTTTCCCCATTGTTCTGTGTTGAGTATGACCTGTTTTGGGAGAATGATGAGTTAATGTCTTTAATTTCCAAGGAAAAAGAGAACCATTTCTGTTACAACAATGTGCTGTTAGATGAGGCCTTAATTTCTGCTCGGAAAGAGGCTGTGGAGTGGGTTTTGAAGGTTAAGGCACACTATGGGTTCAATGCTTTGACTGCTGTTCTTGCTGTGAATTACTTGGATAGGTTCATTTCAAGCCTCAGGTTTCAAAGGGACAACCCATGGATGGGTCAATTAGCTGCTGTGGCTTGTTTGTCTTTGGCAGCCAAAGTGGAGGAGATCCATGTTCCGCACCTTCTTGACCTGCAGGTATGTGCCACTGCAAGATTGCCAAAAGGGTACTTTTTTGTGTTTGTTGGAATTGTAATTGAGTTAAGATTGATGGGGTTTTTTTATGTGTTTTAGGTGGAGGAATCAAAATATGTATTTGAAGCAAAGACGGTACAGAGGATGGAGCTGTTGGTTCTCTCAAGCCTTGAATGGAGGATGCATCCTGTGACTCCAATCTCCTTCCTCCATCACATTATAAGGAGGCTTGGATTGAGAACCGAATTGCATTGGGAGTTTCTTTGGATGTGTGAGCGGTTGCTTCTCTCTCTCATTTCTGGTAAGCATTCAATCACTAAGCTCATCCTTCTCAGACACATGATAAATTTGCATTTGAGTGGTTTCCAGTGGGTTCTGATCTTAAATTTCCAATTAAATTGTGATCCAGATTCAAGGTTTCTGGGTTATCTCCCTTCCATTTTAGCTGCTGCAACAATGCTGCGTGTTATTAAGGATGTTGAGCCATGGAATCATCTGGAATACCAGAACCAGCTCATGGGAGTACTCAAGATTAGCGTGGTTCATAATTTCATATCCAATTATACTTGTCCTCTGTTTCTAGATTACCCATTATCTCCTGTTTTTATGAACCTGATTGGAATTCGTCTTCAACAGGATGAAGTAAAGGAGTGCTACAACCTCACCCTGGAATTGTCAGGATGCAACGAGAACCGAGGGCACAAACGCAAGCATTCATGGATACCAAGCAGCCCAAATGGTGTCATTGATGCATATTTTAGTTGTGAGAGTTCAAATGATTCGTGGGCAGTTTCCCAATCTTCTCCAGAGCCTCGGTTCAAAAGGAGCCGAGCCCCGGATCAACAGATGCGGTTGCCATCACTAAACCGTATGTTTGTGGATGTGCTTGGTAGCCCTCATTAATGTTATCTTGTTTTGATATCTGGTACTAAGCATGACATATTACTATTCAGTACCAGTTCTTAATCTGCAATGAATATGTTTCATGACTTAGAAGCTGATGTATGGTTCCTTCCTTCTCTGGAGCTAAACTCAAGTGCTTCAGCCATGACTCAATGTCTAATTATTATCATCTATGGTAACCTATAAACATAAATTTTGGATTTGAAACATCCTCTTCACTGCATCCATCTAACCTTATGTTGTATAAAATAATTCGAAGTTGAACCGCAAATTGAGGTAGCGAGCAAAAGTCTTTGGTTGTTTTTCTTGAAATAGCAGATTGTTGACTTGTGTCTTCCTAAGATAAGGGCAAAGGAAAGAAACACTTTCATAGAAACTAGACTTTTTTTTCTTGATAAGCTATGGAAACTAGGCAATTGAAGTATTCAAATGCTGCAGTTTGAACTATTATAACATTTGGTAGCAAAGGTCAAAACAACTAGGAAGCTGCCAAAAGTCCTTGTGAAATAAACCAAATTCCCACCACGGGGCATTCCTTGACTTCCACCGTTGAGTAGTGAATTTGGCTAAAGAAATATTCCAAAATTCTTAGTTCAAGTTGATAGATGTTTTTATATTATATGATTGCACTTCTAGTTGTGTCTCTTTATCAGTTTGCACCATGATCTTGTGTGGAATCTTTTCGAGTGTGAACAGTTGGACCATATTCAGTCTTAAGTATGACATTGTAGACTTTACACTGTAAATTATTTTAATAAGTTCAACTTGTTATGTCCCAAATATTAAGGCTTGATGATGTTGGTATCTCAATTTGGTGATCTCTTCATATGGCAACTCTGTGTTTTCCCCTGTTTCAATAACTAGGAAGAATCCTGTCAAAATTTCTTTCTTGATTTGTATAGTATGCAGTTGCAGTCATGTGCTTTCGGATGATATGCATATTGTATTTTGTTATAGGAGTGATTATCCAAACATTCTTGGTTGCAATTTTGTATGGTTGGTGCAGTCTCAAACCATTCTCATGTAATGAGCCCCAATGTAGGTATAGGTTTTAAGTGCATTTTTTCAAACTTCTCGAACTTGAAAATGTCTCATATGGTTAGATGAAGTGGGAACTAAAGAATAAATTGGCCATCATGGATGTGCTGGCCCGCCGGGTGAGAGAGATAGGTCATAGATGACATTAAATTGAACAACTTGGATGTTGATCCAAACTTAAAAGAGAAGTGCATTTTTGACTTGTTTTCTACTTGCCATTTAATATTTGTTGGCCTTTTTTTCCCTTCTTCCTTTCTTCTTTTCTTTCTCCCTCTCTTTTTTTTCTTTTTTCTGCTTTTTAATTTTAACCTAGTACATTGGAGGCAATACGTAGGACAGAATTCGAGTAACGCCGGTGGTAGATGGTATGTGCAGTGTGCATCCCTCCATTCCCCAAAAAATAGCCTATTTCTTTGATAGCAATTTAATCATAAGGCAGCAACTAGAGCATACCCATTTGCAAATGTAGTTCCTGCGATTAATTATGAATGGCTATATAATTAACCTTCACAACAAAATTTATGGGAAACATGTCATAGCTGCAACATCCCTAAATGCAGGATAGTTGCTGCAATTAATTATGAATGGCCATATTTTTACCACACAGATGAGATGTGGAGAAAGAAAGAGCGGAGAAAGCAATAGGGGTTAAAGATGGATAGTTGATGAAGTAATGGAGGAAGTAACTAGTCTGCATGTGAGATAACTAAGGTCTGAGGAGGTAGTTGAAACCAGCTAGAAATGTTTGTTGTTGAGTATATTAAAGGGACAGATTGTCAAAAGGGTATCCAGTTGAGCCTATTTCTGCTTTCAGAAGTTGAATCTGGAAATAGGAAAAACCCTAATAATTGGTTTTCCTTTTCCCAATCATATATGCCAACTTACCAAGAGACCCAGTTAAAACCAAAGTAGAGAAGGAAAACAAGTCAAAGACAAGAGAACCTATGTCCCTAGGGAACAGAACAAGAAACATAGGTTGAGATGGGACTTTGTGTGTTTTTTAAGGAGCAAAAGTCCTCTGTCCTCTCCATTTTGTCTGTAAATACTCTAAGACATGTAAGAGCATTTTGCTTTTTCCCCTGCTGGAATGGATTGCCCATTTCGAAGCTAAGTTAGGAAGAAAATTCTGGCAATTGATTTACAGTGGAACAGGATCTTGAAGGGGGAATTTTGACCAAAAGTGGTATGAATTGATGCTGTTTTAACGTGGACAGACACAGACCAGACTGTATCCTGGTTTTCTTTGAAGAGGACAACATTGCTCATAAATGTATAGCCACACATGCATGGGACTCAAGTGAAAACACATTTCTCTAGTCTGGTTGGATTTTATGAGATTGCTGCAAGGTTTGGTTGATAAATTGATACCTTACCAAACCAACAATTGTATTTTCCCATTGCAGATGTCTAGGTGAAGTATCTAGTAAATATTATCCTCTTTTACCAAATACTATGCATTAGTCTTAGTGGTGTTTGTTCTTTAGGTTTTTTTTTTTTTTTTTACATCAAATGATAAGCTATAAATGAGAGATGACCATTTTCTTTTCTTTAATTCCTCTTCACTCGTCTCAAACTTTGAACTTAAGATTTTTAATTTGAAATCTTAAGTTTTTAATTAATAAAGACATCTCATTAGGGACTGTACAAAATATCTTATTAGGGACTGTTCAAGACAACTTATTAAGAATTATTATTTAAATATATCATGTTGAGTTGTAACCATTTACTCATTTATGCCAAAATATAAGATTTAAACATGAGATCTTTCAAAACATGGTTAAGTTACTTCCAATTAAAATATTGTGATTGAAACACACACCCATGACAATTAAAACAAGGGTGGGCAATAATTAAACCCTAGGGTCTAATGTGAAGCGTTGGTTTTGTCAACAATGAGCTTACCTACCAAGTAATAATCATAAAATTGATGGTAGCAGGAATTGGGGCATTTAGAGGCATCAAAGTCTTACCCTAAAGTCCTTGTGTAACTATGTTCAATTTCTCATTTGATAATTCTACGGGACTTGTGTGACTTTGTGTCTTGGTCCACATCTCCAACTCTTTTAACAGAATAAAATATTCCATCCACTGTATACAAGTGCAATAAGGTTTCAAAAGCATAGGAAAATATCCATTAAAACGTACTGACTACTACAACTTGAACTTATGGTTTCATCTTTTCAATATAATAAACAAATTAGACTAAATACCTTAATCCTATTCTAAAGAAGGGACGAAATTGCAGTCAAAGATTGAAAGTTAAACTACATAGATAAAATAATTTATAATATAATATGATTACCTCTGTTGTTACATATGCCTAGCTTAGTTATAGGAGAGAATGATTTCAATCTCTGATGATTATAATAAGTAGCACCAAGAACTAGAATGTTTTAGTTTATAGAGTTGATAAAGTCCATTAATAGTTAGGTTAGAGACATTAGAATTTGGATTGAATCTTGCCTTTAGATTTACAAGGAAAAGAGAACGAATACCAAATCTGAGGTTATGATGTAGATTAAACGAGCAAATGAATATCAATTCGTGCATCCCACTAGTAAAATTGGGCAAATCAAAACTACTGTAAGATAAATTATATACCTATCCTTTTCCATTATACATAGCCACCCAATATCATTCTTTCACAATATCACTAGTTCATATATCTAATCACAAAAGATCTCTCCAACATTGAAATTTTATTGCATTTTCCTTCTACATACGATGATTGAGATGGATCAGACTATAGTCATAGCATAGTGCTTGATCCCTGGCCGGATCAGGCCTGCAAGGAACATAGAAATATAGAATGGTCATTGAAAACTTTACTTTGGGCCTAATTGAATGAGGGGATCTTGGGCTCATCTTTATTCTTTACCTTGCTAGAAATATTGCTTGCCATCCAGTCAAGACCCTCATAAAGGCCTTGGCCGGAGGTGGCACAAGCAGCCTGAATGTACCACCTGCGCTTCCGGAGCGAGTGCAACCCAAGTTTGTCAGTGATTTCAGAGACGCTCATGGCATTCGGAAGATCTTGCTTGTTCGCAAAGACGAGCAGAGTCGCGTCGCGTAGTTCATCCTGCGCAAAAACTTAAAGAGTTTTAGAGAAAATTTTGTGATGAATTGCAAAATGTGTGGAAAAAATAACGTGACCTCGCTCAGCATCCGGTGCAGCTCGTCTCTGGCTTC